ACAAAAACGTTTTTCAATCGCTCCGTCAGACCATGTCCAAATCTGCTCTCTGCCCCATTGACCTTGGAACTGTGACCTCCAATTTCGGAGCTCCCACAGTGATGGCTTTTCCTACCATGATGCTATACACCGACTATCACGAGCCTAGGTCGAGCCGTTTAGATTTGTGCCGCAATTCTGCATTTCCACCCTATACCTTAAGTTAAGGAGGGAATGTTCCCCCTTTATTTACACCTCTTGACCTTTGACCTTTGACCCCCAGCTTTGACATCCCAACTCGTTTTCGGATTACTCCACCCCCCCACGTCCCGAATATCGTGACCGTACGTCGAGCGGTCAAGATTTGTGCCCAACTGTTGTCGCACGGACGCACGGACGGACGCACGCTCATGCGATTCTACAAGCTGCATCTGACTATGTCAGATGAGCTAAAAACTGCCTAAAATTCAAGTCGCACGTTTGAATTTAAAATTTTTGCGAATAAAGAGACATAACTCATAAAATACGGCACTTAATAACAATCCCTGATGCTCTTTTTTACAGCAATATGTTACCATTAAAACGAGTGTAAAATTAAATTATTCCGAGTTGTAATCACAGAGAAATATCCATTTATACATCGACTACTAAGTCAGAAATTTGAACGGAGAAATCAGCGTTTTTCTGACGTCAGCCGCGGCTCACTACACATGTACGCGGGCAAGCAAAACGCTCTGACAGTTCACATGTACCGTTATATGGAGAAATGAGCATGTACACAGGTGGCACATAGTGTTAGCCATCAAATAAAGTTGAAAATAAAAAATCGGTAAAAATTTTCCTAAAACCTTGAGAGTATCTTGGAATGCAAGCTGTTCTTCAACACTATCTCGAAACGCGAACCGAATGCTCAAGTAATCATACATTTAACTTCGACAACGATAATAAAAATGTTAATATTGATAATAATAATAATAACCGGGGCACCTTCATGTGACGACGTTCCAAGCATTGCCGCCGATCCCTCCCTCCTTTCCTCCCTCCCTCCCTACCCTAACCCTAACCCTACACCTCCCTCCCTACCTCCCTTCCTCCCTCCCTACACCTCCCTCGCTCTTTCCCTCCCTTCCTCTCTTCCTCCCTCCCTCCCTACCCTAACCCTAACCCTACACCTCCCTCCCTACCTCCCTTCCTCCCTCCCTACACCTCCCTCGCTCTTTCCCTCCCTTCCTCTCTTCCTCCCTCCCTCCCTACCCTAACCCTAACCCTACACCTCCCTCCCTACCTCCCTTCCTCCCTCCCTACACCTCCCTCGCTCTTTCCCTCCCTTCCTCTCTTCCTCCCTCCCTCCCTACCCTAACCCTAACCCTACACCTCCCTCCCTACCTCCCTTCCTCCCTCCCTACACCTCCCTCGCTCTTTCCCTCCCTTCCTCTCTTCCTCCCTCCCTCCC